CAATTCGATTCCTCTAGTGGTTCTTCAATAAAACCCCAAACAGAGAAGTCTAATGGATCTGAATTCGGACTGTGAGCAGACCATGAATCCATCGCCACAAAACAGCCGATACTGGTCTCGAAGAAGTGGGTCGGTGTATTGGTCCATGGGCCCGAGCGCGTTCCTGTAAAAAGACAGAAATGTTATGATTCTGCTTCAGGGGCAACAGTTTTTCCAAGGATCCCTTCTTGGTAGACCTTCCCATTGATTTCCGCGCTTTTATCAATAAAAACCTGTACAGGCCTGCTCAGAGCAGTGATCCAGCCTCAGTCCATCAAATTTTCAGGGAACGAGATTCTTCTGGGTACTTTCCATTAAGGATGTTGCTAAGAGCTGATGTAAAAGATCAAAGGTGATTGTGAGAGTGGTAAGGCACTTAAACGGTAAATTTTATTTGTGAAGCCACAAGGCGTCCTAGGACCGCCGCACCTCAGAAAAATCCCGCAACTTCTTATATTTTTCCTTCCGATCTTGCTTTGCTTGGAGGGTGGGAAACTGCCCGTTTGATATACGATATAGTCCATTCCGCAATTATTTTTGCTTTCATCTGAACAAATTCTCGGGAGGCTTGGTTCTGTTCGGCCCTCTTATTCAAGCTCAGGTCATCTTTTTGGTCATTCCTCTTTTTAATAATTTTTCTCACACATCGGGTGTTGGTAATCCGTTCTCATTCCCTTACGGGTTTAGGTGAGGGATAGTCTTCCTCTTTCCTTTCCTTTTTTGGACGGTTCGTAGAAAAATTGTGAGCCTCGAAGAAATCATTTAGCTCTCAGTCCAGCTGTTTGCTTGCCATGCAATCGCACTAACTTGAATAGGTCTTTGTCAAAACTTGGAAAACAGATTTTTTTGCAAACCAATAACTAAGCTATTAACAAAGAGTTTGAAAAGAAAAAGCACACACAAATTCCTTCCTACAATGTTTCAAACGAAGCGGAATGTCGCGATCACGTACACAATTTTTCGCCCTCTGTATAAGATTCCAGGTACGGCGTCTTCGTATGTATTCGCTTTGGCCAGGAGAAATCAAAACTCGGACGTATATCAATGTGTATCGTGCAAAAGGATGAATGTTTGGAGAACGATTAAGGTAAGGTGTAAGTGACAGTTTCTGCACACATCCTGCACCTGTCCTGCACACATCCTGCACTTTTCCTGCACAGAGCGTTCGCAGTATATGTGCAGGAAAAGTGCAGGGTGTGCTGGAAAAGTGCAGGATGAAGAAAATATGTGTAACGTTTCCACGTTAATGCTATTGGAGACGGCTTTGTTGGTAACCCTTGCGAGATCGGGTATGTGTGTACGTCGGCTGGAGCAGGAGAAGGCAAGAAGAAGGCAAGGCAAGAAGAATTGGATACGAGGTGGCATAGATAAGTATTCACTTATCAATCAGTTTTTGTTTTTCCTGAATTTTCAGAAGGTGCATGAAGTAAAAGGAGACCCGCTCTATGTAGAACGACCCCGCGGCAAACGTATGAGGAGATGCTAATGAATTCAGACCAGGAACATGGAGGTATGACTATCAGAAAACGAAACAGGAGACAAACAATGTATTACGAGAACTTATGTATTCCTGCTGCAGAAGACGTCGTAAGCGCGCTATACGGATGGGGATTCGGAATGAAAAGGCAAGCGATATCGAGGTAAACTGCGCTAGAAATGCAGCTCCAGTGCTTGATGAATAGGAAACGTTTACGGCGATCAGTTCGTTAAAGTACAAAGAAGTAACGCTAAGCAACATCCCCGACGAATTGGCGAGGCTGAGAGATGGCAGACTGTGTGTTCATGAGCAAAATACACAGCTGCACATTTATTATTCGGAAGGAACTGTAGAGGTAAGGCTCTGCGCTCTAATGCGGCGCGCCTATTGAAATCAACCGCTGCTTGTTTTTACAGATGGCTTGTACGCCATTGTGGCCGACGGCGTGCACACGAAACAGCCGAAACAGCTCTCACAGCTCTATTGCGTTCACGGAGTTTGCCATGGCGGAGTGGAATGTGCTGCTGCTATACTCGCTAACAGCGCGTAAAACGGAAGAGGTGGCGTATCTATTTAAAATTAGTCAATTTTTTCAGAAAAAAATGTATATGCTTTGAGGTGTATTATAAGGTCTTTGGCCACCTCAAGAACTCGACGGCCACCTCCTGAGACCGACCCAGTCACTGAGGATCGTTCTTGATTTCGAAAAAGTGGCTATAAGCTTGCTGCGACGCCTGTTCTTAGAAGCCAGTGTAGAGGTATGCGCATTTCATTTAGCGCAGACCTGGAACAGGTGAACCTTGAATTATCACTGAGTTTGCGTAAATAATAATTTGTTTATTTCAGGCGGAGAGATTCCTCAAGAAACCTAAGAGAAAACCTGCAACCTAAGAAAATTTTTACAAGGGCATGGCAGAGTGCAAGCAGAAGCGGAGTGTTGGGACATAATAAAGGGGGTGGTTTATTTCCCTACCCGCCCTTGTCCCGAGGTATGCGCTCCGAGAACAGTACGTATATGAAATCGTTTGACCACAAGAAATACATATTTTGTAGGTCCAGGCGCTCTGGAGACCACCCGTCCCGGAAGGCCACGTCGCTTACGAAAAGTGCAAGGAGTACCTTAGATTCTTGCACGCGACGTGGTTCGACGTCCCGTTGGTTCCCTATGAAGACATGTGGAATAAATGAGAAAAGGTAGACCTCCGAACCACTAAGCCGAGGCCTACCACAAGTAATGAAGCAATACGGGAAAAAAATGTTCTCTTGAAGAGATATAATTCCCTTCAGTCGCCTGAACATTTCAATTGGTATGGACCATCCGAGCATGAGGGTGCTCATTGAAAATCTGAAGTACATCGATTTTGAAGCCAAGTGTACGCTACGTTGGATCAATGAGGTATGTGTTATTTCAAAATTAATATATCACTCACTTGGTAAAACAATAACTTTAGCACAAAGACGAAGGAAAAGCGAGATAGGGACCGGAGAGAACAGATCGCGGAAAGTTAAAATCACAGTGTACATGGCACTAATACTTTTTTTTAAACAGTCTTGTTTGGATTTGGAGCAATTTACCAGCAACGCGAGTAACCAGGACAGAAATATTATTGTAGATATATGTCTAGGTATGTATCCGGAAAAACTATTTAGTGTAATAAACTTCTAATGTAATTAATTGCAATAATAATGTAATTGTAAATGTAGTGTAATTAGCTCATGTAGTAATAATAATAATAATGTTATAAACAGTAACTGTAATAAACTAGTAATAAACCTGTTGTTCATACACACAAAATAATTGAAACTCACCATTACAAAGACCACTACTCATGTTCTGCAAGCTGCTGTAGAGTAGTATTATCAGAACCCAACAAAGACCATGATAAAACCACTGAGTTGCATAGCAGTACAAATCTGCTACGAATAGAATAGAGAGTGGAAATAGTCGAGAAAACGAAGATAGGTAGATCGTCAACCGTCCGCAATTGGCGTTTGTCGTGGCGTGCTCTAATGCGCATCGATCAACTACGAAAATTTTGCGGTTGCCTGATCCGGACGAGTCGTCTGCCTAGACATGGGAAGGTGAAGGTGGCAATTGCGGCCCATGCGTCCATGGCAATGATGCCTCGAAGGGCCGCGCCGCACGACATGCACCGAAAATGAACCCAAAACAGTAAGTAATAACGGCGCGAAGACTCAAGGAAACCACGAAGCTTTGAGGACAGCCTGCGTTGCGGCGTTAGCCTTGGAGCGCGGCAAGTATCACCCAGGCGGTGGGTGTACGAGACGCGGAGAAAGAAATACTGGGTTGATGCATAATTATTGCGGATTTTTTCAACAAATTTTATTCAGCGAAAACGACAAAAATATTCAACAAAAACATGTTTAAATGATACCCCGGAGCGTGGTCACCATCCTTCAAGAATGCTTCCCATTTGCTTGGCAGTCGGTCGATTCCACGGGTGAAGAAGTCACGATTCTGGAGACGATCCACGCTCCAACATCAGCTACCAAGTCATCCAGCTCGATCAACAACAACGAAAAAAAATATTCGACAAAAACATGTTTAAATTTTTACTCTGGAGCGTAGTCACCATACTTCAAGAATGCTTCCCATTTGCTTGGCAGTCGGTCGATTCCACGGGTGAAGAAGTCACGATTCTTGGAGACGATCCACGCTCTAACATCGGCCACCAAGTCATCCAGCTCGTCGTAAATTTTGTTCGTTTGCCAGTTTTTCAACGACTGATTGAAGTGGTAGTCTGTAGGAGCTTCGGTCGGTAAATATGGCGTTTTGAACCTCTTGAACCATCTTTCAACTTGGCTTTTGCTGATTGTTCCCTCGCCGAAAAGTTCGTTGAGATCGCGAAATGACTCTGCCGCCTTCCAACCTTTCTCGAAGTGGTAGAGCATATGTGGCGAATATGAAGATGATTTTCGATAAGCATTTCTGTTAATGAAAGAGAGAAGAATATTTCATGAAAAAATAATAAACAAAACGCCAATCTTTTCGAAAAAAGAAGGTGCAAAAAATCCACAATGGCTATGTATCAACCCAATACTTCAGAGGGGAATAACTTTCCTGCAACATACTTTTTGAATTGTTGAGGTAGATTTGAACTGTGCCTGAGGTGCGCTTTCAGAAAACTACAAGGATTGCCTAACTCTCCGGAAAGTACTTCTGTTAGAAGTGGAAAACCCAAAATTCTAAGAAGGCGCACCTTCAACTTTGAAGGCCCATAATATCTTTCGTATGCGACATTTTGGAAAGCTGTAAAAGTTTCAGAAACTTCAAATATTTCTCTAACAAATCAGCATAAAAAGTTTAGTGATTGACCCCTTTTTGAAAAAATTGTCCCGTTCGAACATTTTCCGTGCAAAAGCGAGTTTTTGGGCTTTCAGCGGCCATAACTCACTTCATTCTCATTTCTGTGATGCATTTTTTCATGAGGTGAAAATGCAGAATTTGCTCTTTTTAAGAA